CGGTGCTGCCCCGGTGCTGCCCCGGTGCCAGGCGCATCGGCCGGGGCCGAGGGCACGCCGGGCTGCGATAGCCGCACTCGCGGGGCGCTAAGTCGTGCCGCAACGGTGATCCCTCCCTTCACCCGCGGCTGGGCTGTTTTCTAGATGTGGCCGGTTATTTATCATGTCAGGCTGCCTTTCAGAGGGGTCCTAAGAGTGGAAGTGGTGTGCCCATTATTTCTTACCCTCTGATAAGTCATTTAAATGTTGGCATGTGAACGCGCGTCTGGAGTGGTGAATTTCACTCAGGAAGAGTATCAGGGACACATTCCTCCTGAGACTCGTGTGGTTTCTTTACAGTGGTGTTTTGGCCATATGTGGTATAAAGCACTAACAGAAAAAAATTCTACTTTTTTTTTTTTTTTAGCTAGTTACGTTGGGAATGAGCTGTAATTGTTAGAATAGCTTCCATATAATACCACTTCCTAAAGATTTATCTCATGGGCTGCCAAGTCTGGTTTTATTTGTAGTGATTGGAATTGAAGGACGTGTATATCTTAAACCCAAAAAGTTATGAAAAGGAGGCATATACTCCAGAAGAAAAAGTAGTATGGAAGTACGATCAGAAATACTAGGGCCTAAATACAGGTTTCTGTTGCTTCTGAACTTGCTTTGCATTCTGCAGTCAGTGTAGTTTCCTGTGCAGCAAGTGGAGAGGTTAATTTTGGTAAAACCTTATTTCCCATCTCTTACTCCAGCAGTGTTAATGCTTGTTTGAAACCTAAGATTTGTTATAGGTAGTTAAGCCCTATGCCACCTTTTTAGCCATATTGGGAAATCTGAAAATTGCTTGAAATGGTGCAAATTGTTTTTTTTTCAGTCACTTAGTTTTTGTAAATGTCAAATAAAGGTTGTAGCGTATATATAGATATTGCTATATGTACAAAGTTTTGTTGTTTTCTAAATGCAGCTATAACCCCATTAATAGAGCCTTGGATTCTTCTATTGCTAAATATTGTTGCTAAAGATGAGCATGAACTTTGTAATGGAAGGCAGAACTGACTTTCCAAGACTCTCTTGCTACAAAGTTTCAAACTACTGTTTTCGAGGTAAATTTTATTTCAACTGCTTGGAGATCAGGAACTCACATGGTGTTAATTGTAAGAACAGTTTGTTGCATTCATATATCTCTAAACTTCTAAAAATGCTGTGCCCATGAAAACAAAACAATTTAAAAATAGCTTTTGAATGTTTTAATTTTGCTGCTTACAAATTATTCTTCTTAGGGATCTTAATGGAAATAACATCACAAGAATCACGAAGACTGACTTTGCTGGTCTAAGGCACCTTCGAGTCCTGTAAGTTTGCTCTTTCTCAAATTGATAACTTTTAGGACTGCTGCTACAGGTTGTAGTTACATTTCAGTTCATTAGCTGGATGGGCTGTGACTTTTTAACTACTGTACTACTGTATCTAAAACTGCTCTGCCATGTGTTATACACTGTTATGCACAAGTTAGCAATTCCCTTAAATAAAATTTGTTTAAATTTTTTAATCTCCCCTTAAGATTATAAGAACTTGGGGACTTAGTGTAGCACATAGCTTACAAATAAGAGTTGCCAAAATTGGTTGAATAACCATTGGAGTTACTTCAGTTTAAGGCTGTGAAATTTGTAGTTCACACTGAAAATGGGTACTCTCAACCAGAACTATAAAAGAGTTAATTAAGAAAAAAGTTATTCCTTTACTGAATATAAAAGCAAGTCTCAGGTGATTATTATTGCTCTTCTGTAGTTTCTGGACAAAAAGGAACACTTTACCAGTGAAATTGAGGAAGGAATTGTTTGGTTGGTTTATTTGGGTGGGTTTTCTGTTTATTTGCTTAAAAAAACTCAAGCCTTCAAGCATTATTGAGGTTTTAAAATTTGGTGCAGTGTGTGGTTTTTGTGTGTGTGTGGTTTTTTTGGTTTTTTGTTGCTTTCTGAAGTCAATATCTAACTACTTATTTGTTAAGGCCAATTTAATTTGAGCAAGTAGTCTTGTAAAATCCTTTTCCTTTTCTCTCTAAAGTAAATATAACATAGAAATTTTTAATTTTGTTACAAAACAGAGATGCTCTTATGGTTGCAGTCCCTGTGCAGTCTTTCACTGATGTTTCTCCCAACACCACGATTCAGAGTTTCAGTTTTGTTATTCTCTTGTGAGACTTCTATCACCTTCATACTGTTGGACTGGGGTCTTACAGCTTGCCGAAGGGCAGGGATGTTTGTGCACACAGCGTGTAGGCATGTGCAGCTTTTTAACTTGGGACTCCTTAAGTAAATGAGCAAATGTAATATTGATTCCTGTTTCTTTTACCAAGGGTTATTTTCCTTCTTTTGTGTATGTGAGCCCATGTAAATTGTTGGTGACAGGGATACAGAAGGTTAAAGTGGATGTCACTCTAGAATAACTTTTGGATTGTTTTAAAGAATATGTGGCTGCCTTTAAATGACCATTGTTAATGCAACAAGTTATGTCAGCAGTACTAAAACTTACATATAAAATTTTTCTATATTTCAGTCAGCTCATGGAGAACAAGATTAGTACTATTGAGAGAGGAGCATTCCAGGATTTAAAAGAACTGGAGAGGCTGTAAGTATCTTTAATTCTAAAAGTATCAGCTTTTGGGGGGTCAAATTAGTTGTGTGTCAAGGTACTCAAGTTTCGGGTTTTTTTAATACTTTTTTTTTGTTTTTAATTTGGGACTTCTAGCCTTACTGAGACACAAGAGAAGTAAGAAATTCTCAAGCAGTATTTAAGGGACTCGGCTGGGGGTGAGAGCATTCAAGAGCAGTCTGGATTCAAAGTGCAAACTGCAATTGTCCTGTAGGAAATAGTTTGAATACTATCAAATATTTTCACTTTGATCTTGAATACACAGGGACTTTTGAGAACTCAAATGTACTGAAAGAAGCCTGTTCTCTGACCTGTAGTTTTAGATGTTTTATACAATGTCTTATTGGAAGTAACTACTGGCAATAGAGTGTTTTCTTGTTACATAGCAGTGATTCAGTTCTACTCCAGTTCTTATATGGTGAAAGCTTTTACAAAGGCTTAGAAAAAATATGAACTGTAAGTTTTCAAAAATAATTTGAATTTGTATTTTATAAAAAAATGAGTACTGTGGGAAGAGAAGATGGGGCAGTGATGAGAGGACCTTATCTGGTTAAGTCGAAGTACGAATGCCTGCTTGGTTGAAGTAAGACCTAGAAAATGAGTAATTCCCAGACTTGTTTTCAGTATGTGCCTTCTTATTTTGTTACACTTCAAATGAAAATATTTTTTAAATATATTGTGCAGCTTGGGACATCTGACTCATTAAAAACAGGATGCTGATTGTTGGACATAGTGTGGAGCCTGGAAAGTATAATATATATATATATATATTCCTGTTGAACTTGACTCATGTCTTCATTATTAGGCATCATAGTTGCATTTTCATTATATCACCTTTTCTTTCAGCATAGCTCTGAGGTCTTTAGTGTTTTATTTGCTGCTTCTTTAACTTTATAAAAGTATTTCTGCTTTACTCCATTGAAAACCAGCACTGGCCTGAACGTAGTTTGTCTTATTATAGTTGCTTTGTATCCATAGCTGCTGGCTGTGAGTTTAAAACAAAAACCTCCACAAACCATTATGGTTTGGTTGGTCATTTAGACAAAGCTGTTCAAGAGACTTAGTAGCCACCAGTGTAATTTTGATATTTCTAATTCTAAATTTGATATTTCTATAATAGTTGAGATAATTACCACATTTTTTCAAATAAACCAAAGTAACTTTTTGACCTAAAAAAATAAGTGTTGTTATATAGTGCAACTTTTTAAAAATAAATTTTAATGAGATCGATTGCTCTTTGGAAAAAAACTGGCTGTGCATTTCTAAGGCATATTAAAACACTTAATTCAGTGCTTTTTCACAATGTGTTTTCAACTTCGTACAAAGTATAGAGATTTAAAACAGCTTTTCCTGCTGAGGGATATATTGGAATAATATATACACATTCCTAAATTTAGTTTATGGTGTCTAGATAAAAAAAATAAACAGCAGTGTAGTTCATATTGCAAAAGTAAATACACATTTATGAAAGATGAAAAAAACATTAAAAGAGGCACACTTTCACTGTGAATGTGATTTGACACTGAGATACCAAATCCTAACCAAGTTTTAAAACAGTTTATCGGCAGCCTTATTTCTTAATTATTTCAAAGTAAGCTCCTGCTATGTGATTTATTAACAAATTTCAAAAAAACTTCAACACTCTTACTGTTTTTATTTCTGAAGTACAGAATTGTTTTAGCAGAGAAAAATGAACTTCAGTTGCTAAAACTTGTCTGATATGTTTGTGTTTTGCTGTTACATTGTTTCATTTTTTCTTTGGTTTTCCTTTGATAATTGGAACACAATAGATATTTCCATTTACATAAGATACTAGTTCTAAAGAGAAACTGTAATACTTTCTGGGTTATGTTTGTTCACCCTTCAGCAGGCAAACTAAGCTATCTGAAAATTTAGTAATTTAGGTCTGAGGTTAGGTTGTTTTGTCTTCAGAGTTATATTACATCTGCTCCAATTGTCAGTTTCTTTAATTTGCTGGAATTCAGTTCGTGTTAGGTGTGTGGGTAAGTTGTAATTTGAATATATGTATGTAGGATGTCTTTAAACTACCCCAGCTGTTGTCTAAGAGCAAATATTTCATATTTGTGGGGAAAAGCTGGGAAAATTGCTCTTGTTTACAACTGCCAAGTCCATCTGATGAGGGTGCATTGTTATCTGACAGCCAATTCATCTCCTTGGGATTTTGAAATCCAACATGATTTCTCAGGAAACCTCTGGGTACTTAATTCAAGTATTTTCTTTTATACATTAAATAGCAAGCACTTTAAAGCTGCTTCGGTTTTTTTTCCAATGTGTGAGTGTAGGGTGTCACATTTTCGCTCCAAGTGTAGTGTGCCAAGCTGCTGTCAAAGAATACCTGACACAGAGCTTGTAGTATGTATCAGAGAGTATAAGAGAATGTCATTGCAGCTTAAATGAACTCAATTTGATTTATAATATTGTTTACATGTAATACTGTGTATGTTGAAATATCTTATGCTAGTGTATACAGGTTGAATTTTAAAAGAAATTTCCTTTTGTTCAGTACTCTCTAATGTGAACACAGGCTTTCACAGAAGTTTCTCTTTGGGAAAAAAGAAATGCCCATGTCTCTAAGTGAAGTGCTGGGGGTTTGCTTGTTTGTTTGGGTTATGTTTTTTGTTTGTTTCTTGGGTTTGTTGTTTGTTTTTAACTGGAGTTTCAGTTAAATTTTATTTTTAAACCAGTAACTCTGATTTCCAAGGAACTGTTTGTTTGGTTAATGAGTTACTTGTGAATAGTCATTTATAGGTCTTATAACTCAAAATGCTGGATATCCTCAGCTCCCTTTAATGGAAGGGAAGATCTGAAATGCTTTGTGAAATTAATCTGAGAAGAAACATTTGACCTCTTCAGAAAATGTCTGCTTAAGATTGATTTTTATTAAATCCATAAAAATCTGTCAGGTGGTTCCTCGTATAGCTTAATAAAATAACATATCTCTAGCACACTATGTAGATTAGTATGTACACAAAGCTATTTAGACCTAATACACTTCACAATGGGAATTTGTCACACCAGTATAATTGTAGAAATGCAATGGAACCCAAGGCTACTGTAAATACTCTGTAAAAAGTGATTATTACTACAGCAGCCTGAATTAAAGTAAGTTTTCAGTTTGCAATAAATGATTGTGTAGCTATGGCTGCTACTTAAGAAATAGGAGGGAAATACAAGGTGGAAATTAGTAAGTTTTTAGGTTTGTGGAAACTTTAGTAGCTGGAGAAACTCTGGTGAAATTGATATTACTGTAAGCCTTTTAGATGGATACTTCTGTGAGAAGTCTTCAAATAAATGATTACACTGCAGTGTTCACATAGTTCCAAACTCTGACAGTCTTGAAGGCTCTAAAGGGCTGAGCTCTTACAGCTCCAGTTCAAGCCAGTTTTGTACAACTCTGCCTGAACTGGCAAGTCTGCCACAAATGCGGTTTTCTTCACAGACTGGATACTGAACAGAAGTACATGGTTTGTCTTGCTGTGTAGATGCTCTGTCTGCTGAAACAACCCTCTTTGGTTGAAAACTGGGCTGTATGCATTGAAGTTCATTTGGAACAGCTTGTACCTTTGAGTACATCCTGAAGCAGTGCTAAAAACTCTTGGACTAATTACAGTCTTGACATCTGCAATCATTATAGTATTTAACATCTGGAAGACTTTCTTAAGTAACTAGTAACTTATATGAGCCCAAGTTCTTAAGCAGGGCCTCTAAAAAGTATATGGTTGTTCAGTACAGGGCAAGTCCCATAGAGAAAGGATTGGATGTGGCCTCTTAGGTTTGTGAACCTCTCTTACAGAGACCACAGTCATGTGTCGTGGTTTTCAATATGCTTCATGGCAGGAAGATGAAAAAGGGTCAGGACATGGAGGATTTTCACAACACTTATGGATTTCCAGACCACTGCTTATTATGGGAGACAAAACCTTTTGAAACAATTCCTTATGAGAATGTGAAATTAAACACTTTTCTTCTTTCTTCATAAAGCTGTCATCTTGGGTGTGATATTTATAATAGCTTGACATAGTATCTTAAGAAAGCAAGATCAAGATAAACTGAAAGTTTCCACTTTATGAAAACTGACACTGTTAGACACAGTTTGAAAAATTATTTTTAGTAAGTGTAGGCCATTGTTATCCCCAGGTTCACCTCATTCTCTCATGGGGCAAATACTGCTCAAAATATGCCAGTGTTTTTACAAGTCATTCTCATCTTAAGGGAAGTATAAAATTTTGTTGATGACAGCTGCCATAGAATGTTGAACCAGTTCTGTAAGAAGCTACTTACATCTAAAATTTCTTTATAGTTCCGTGTTCTCCAGAAATAGAGGATTGTCAGGTTTTTGAGGGCTAAATATACTCTTGTTTTCAGAGAAGAACAGTTACCTTTTCATTTATAAAAAAATATAATTGGCTGATAGGAAAACTTTTCATCAGAATTTTTCCTAATATGTTTTTTTTAAGCCTGAAAGTTTGGATTCCAGCTCTTACTATGCTAGGGCTATGATATGGAACAAGTGTCAGAACAGGAAGAGTTTACAGCAATAGTTTCAAAGCTGCTCACTTTTTTTTTTCTTCCTGTATTTATGAATAATCCATTGAGGGAGAAGTATGTCCCTAAAATGCTAATTTAGAGGCTGATTCTGCAGACATTTACCATGTGAATAACTTGGTTTGCATGAGTAGTCTCACTGATTACTCCTGTGAGAAAGGTTACTCGTGTGGCATAAAGTGCTTCCAGGCCAAGCAACTATATTTTTGATATTTGAATTAACATATTTTATTTTTAAAATATCCATTTATTTTGTTAACAGTTCAAAAGTGTTACCTGTGTAGACTTAAAAAAGCCAGACTGTGAAAAAAACCAAACAAAACAAACCAACCCAAAACTCCACAAACAAAGGAGAAATAAACCACCAATCCCTCCACCAAACTTATTTCTGCTGGAAACGAGTAGATGAA